GCATTAGAAGAAAAACAGAATGCTGATGTGATATACACGGACTTCGCAAAGGCTTTCGATAAATGTGACCATGGCGTGATAGCACACAAAATGAAGTCAATGGGAATAACTGGTAAAGTAGGACGCTGAATACTCAGTTTTCTGTCAAACAGGACTCAGCGAGTAACAGTCAACCATATAAAATCTAGTCCAAGCGCAGTTAAAAGCTCTGTACCTCAGGGTACAGTCCATGCACCGCTGCTTTTCCTTATTCTCATATCAGATATAGACAAAAATACAAGTCACAGCTTCGTATCATCCTTTGCAGATGACACAAAAATCAGTATGAAAATTACCTCGGCTGAAAACATTGAAAAACTTCAAGCTGATAATAATTAAGTTTTCGACTGGGCATCAGAAAATAACATGATATTTAACTGTGATAAATTCCAGGTACTCAGGTACGGTAAAAATGAGGACCTTAAACATAATACAGGGTACAAAACACAATCGAATCTGCCCATAGTAGGAAAACAGCATGTCAAGGATTTGGGAATAATGATGTCTGACGACCTAACGTTTAGGGAGCATAACCAAACTAATATTGCATCAGCCAGAAAAATGATAGGATGGATTACGAGAACTTTCCACTCCAGGGATCCCATCATAATGGTTGTACTCTTCAAGTCACTTGTGTTGTCCCGTCTTGAGTACTGTTCAGTACTCACTTCCCTCTTCAGAGCAGGAGAGATTGCTGAAATTGAGGGAATACAGAGAACATATACGGCACGCATAGACGCGATAAAGCACCTAAATTATTGGGATCGTCTTAAAGCCCTCCCAATGTACTCACTAGAAAGGAGACGAGAGAGATATCAAATAATATACACGTGGAAGATACTGGAGGGCCAAGTACCAAATCTACACAGTAAAATAACAACGTACTGGGGTAAACGATATGGAAGAAAATGCAGAATAGAACCAGTGAAGAGCAGGGGTGCCATAGACACAATCAGAGAACACTGTATAAACATCAGAGGTCAACGGTTGTTTAACACCCTCCCAGCGAGCATAAGAAATATTGCCGGAACAACCGTGGACATCTTCAAGAGGAAACTAGATTGTTTCCTGTAAGGAGTACCGGACCAACCGGGCTGTGATGGGTATGTGGGCCTGCGCGCCGCTGCAAGCAACAGCCTGGTGGACCAAACTTTCACAAGTCGAGCCTGGCCTCGGACCGGGCTTGGAGAGTAGAAGAACTCCCAGAACCCCATCAACCAGGTAGAGAATAGTGTCTCCCAGAATGGAAAGAGACGAGTTGGCTCCACCTCAGTGGGGGTTACTTTCCAGTCTCCGGAAAGAACGCGCGCAGCGGCTAAACTAGTTGAGAGAGGTACAGCCTTTGACATGATCTGGGAGGTCATTCCACATTCTGGGTACATTGATTTGTAGAGCATTCCTAGTTTGGTTAAGTCGCACTCTTGGAATATCAAATAGGTATTTGTTTCTGGTGTGGTGCTCATGGGTTCTGTCACAACCTTCTAGGAAGCTTCTAAGGTCAGGATTGACATTGCAGTTCAGTTTTAAATATATAGAGTACACAAGAGAGGATGTGCAGTGACTTAATATCTAACATATTCAAAGATTTGAGTAAGGGTACCGAGTCTTGTCTGGGGCCAGAGTTAGATATTATTTATTTATTTATTTATATACAAGAAGTTACATTGGGTGTTAACAGAGAATATAGAAAATAAGTTGAATTAACATTCTTGTAAAGCCACTACTAGCACGCACAGCGTTTCAGGCAAGTCCTTAAACTAACAGAATTTTTTTTTATAAATTAACAGTAAAATTGTTAAAAAATGTTAGCAGGTATTTTACAGCTTTTCTTTACAGATACAGATAATTTTAAGAAGAATAAATACAGTAAAATCAACAAAAAATATTTACAGGCAATATGAAGAAATTTTGACACAAAAGCAGATGAGAATAATACACAATAATAACCATACATAATAAAGAAACAAGGATTACTAGGTACATGAGGATAGCATTTCAGGGTTATACATTGGTTCACTGAAGCACAATATGATATTGTTCTAATAGCAGCTTTGTGTTAAATAATTAGAGGACATAAATTATTTTGGGTAGTAGAACCCCAAGCACAAATACCATAGTTGAGATAAGGATAGATGAGAGAGTAATAGGGCATCACCAGGGCAGGGCGAGGTACATAATATCTGATCTTATCTATCTATTACTATTCAAGCTGTCATTGCAATCAATCTGAGCTACCTATGTGCTTTAATATATGCTCATGTGTTGTATTCCCCTTCTTCTCGCCCTCTCCCGCTTTCTCAGTTTCACAACCGTCTTGAAACCTTGGACCCCGACACCTCTACCACCACCACATATGCTCCTTTTCATTCTGTGGCAGCGGGTCTTCCTCCTGGTTCTCCGGTTGGTGTTTCCTTCCTTCCTTCCTTCCCGGTTTTCCTTGTCTCCTATGCCTTCTTTCCCTTCTCGCCCCAATCCTTCATCTCAGCCCTCCCCTGTCTCTTGGCCCTCCTCACTGCCTGTCTGTTCAAGCCATTGTCCATCCTCTTCCCAGCGTTCTTCATGTTGACCGTTCCCATTCTCCTTCTTCTGTTGAAACTGTCGAGGCGGTCACCCAGAATATTGCTAATGGTACGCCTGTCTTTCTACGCCAGAAACGTAAGCCTGGTTCTTCTCCTTGTTCCTCCCCGGCGGGTCAGAAGGCTTCGATATATCCCTCACCTTCCGACTTTAGCACTAGCTTCTCCTCCTATTTCAGTGGCAGTGTCACCTGTCCCTGATACGGAGGGTTATTTGATCCTCTCTTGGATGCCGCCCTTGCTTTGGTGGCCTCTCCTGTTTCTGTCCTTCCTGCCCCCGATTCCCTTGACTGCCCCTTTCCGTTGCCTCCTCCCGCTCCGGACGGTCCACCTTTGGTTTGTCCTCCTGCTCCCTTGCCTCCATTATCTTTGCTAGCTTTGCCTATGTCCCGTAACCCTGATTTTTTTTAGATATATACAAGAGTTGTTACATTCTTGTACAGCTACTAGTACGTGTAGCGTTTCGGGCAAGTCCTTAATCCTATGGTCCCTGGAATACGACTCCTACGAAGAATCGTTTTTACAACCAAGTACCCATTTTACCTTTGAGTTAAACAGAGGCTACAGTTAAGGATTTGCGCCCAGTAAATCCTCCCTGGCCAGGAGACGAACCCATGACAAAGCGCTCGCCGAACGCCAGGCGAGTGTCTTACCACTACACCACGGAGACTGGTTTTCTCCGCATCAGATTTTCTGGATCAGATTTCATTGATCCTGGTCCTGATCTTCCTTAGTCTACTGTGTTCTTCTGTGCCTTTGTTTCTCCCTTGTTATCTCTGTTTCTGTTCTCTCTTTTTTGTTTATGTCTGTTCTTCAATGGAATTTTCATGGATTTTATGCCAACTTCCATGAACTCCAACTTCTGATCGCGCAGTTTTCACCACTTTGTTTATGTCTCCAGGAGCCGATGCCTGACACTCGTCCTGGTCACTTCCATGGCTATTCCTTTCTTTTCCCCTCTCCAGCTTTTGCTGGGGCCCATAGGTCTACTGCTCTCCTGATCTGTCATGATATTCCCTTTGTCCCCCCTACATTTTCAGTTGCACATTTAGTGTTCTGCGGCCCGTATCTTTGTGAGTAAATGGTATACAGTCTGTTCCATTTATCTCCCCCCAAATGTCCCGCTTTCACTTCCTGATCCTAACACCTGTTGAACTCCTGTTGGACTCCTTACCAGAACCTGTGCTCCTTTTGGGTGACTTTAACTGTCGACATACCCTCTGGGGGAATGTTGTGACAAACACCCGGGGCCACCTTCTTGGACCATTTGTCCTCTCTTCTTCTCCTCTGTCTCTTTTGATTTCTGGTGAGCCCACTCTTGTTGCCTTCCGCACTCGCACCCTTTCCTGTCCTGATCTTTCTCTCTGCTCGTCTTCTCTTTATTTGGACTTCACCTGGCGGGTTCTTGATGACCTACATGACAGTGACCATTTTTCGCCTCCCTCTCTCCTTTCCTAGGTGGCAGTTTGCGAAGGCTGACTCCAACCTCTTCACCTTACGCGCTACTCTTTCCGACCTCTCTGATCTGTCTCTCCCCCGAGCCCTCCTCTTTCATGACAATGATTTTGATGCTGCCCTCTGCTCTGTTCCTCGCTCTACCTCTCGGGGCCTGCCAAAATGCAGTGCCTATTGGCAGGATCGCTGCTTTTCTATTACTGGTAAGAAGCTGCGTGCTCTTAAGGGTAGTGTGTCCCCATGGCCTTCCTCCATGGAAGACACGTTTCTCCCACCACCGTAACCGGTGGTGGGGAAACGGCTCTGGCGAGGTTACGTATTGGCCATACCCACCATACCTGTTTAACTCACGTGCAGTTAATGGAGTGCTGCCCTGCTCCTTATTGTCCAAACTGCATTGTCCCTCTTACGATCGTGCACATCCTTGTTGAATTCCGGACTTCCAGGATGTGCAGACATCTTGCATCCCGACTGTCTCTCGAGGTCACCTGTCCCTCGATAGTATCCTTGGTGAATCGGTTACCTATGATGTTGTTCGCCTTATGGGCTTTTGTTCTCGTATTGGCATTCTTAGTGATATTTAGCGCCTTTTTAATATTCCACACTTTTGACTGTGCTACATAGCCTCCCTGGCTTGGTGCCTTCTTTTGATAGTTCCTTACTTCGGTTATTGAGTGTTGGTGATAGTATGTTTAAATTTGTGTTGTAGTGTGTGTAGTGTGTTGTAGTGTTGTGGTGTGAATGGAGTAGTGTTAGTGAATAGAGCAGTGTCAATGAGTGTTGTTTTAAGTATGAGAGTGATAGTGGGAGTGAATGTGGTAATTTTAATTGAACACCAATCTATTAGTGTCTGCTGGGCGACAAGCCTGGCTCTTGGGCCCCGGCCTCCTAGCCCAGAGTAAGTGATTTTGAGAGTGAGGCAGCACTTACTTGAGGGAACCTTGTGGTGTAGATGTGCTTCCACTTATCCAGGTTGAGGTCATCATTCATGTTGATGGTGGCCAGACTATCAGTGCCTGCTGGGATGATGAGCGGCTGGTTGTAGTCCTGTGCCAGGCTCCGGCTGTCAACACAACCACCTAACTTAGAATTTCCTGTTGTCAGGGACAGGAAGCCGCACTAAGATTTAGGCTTATCATGGTCCCCCCTAGGTCAGCTACTGACCTTCCTCAGAGTGTAATATACAACAGTTGACTAACTTTCAGGTACCTATTTATGAGTCGGTGAACAGGAGCATCAGATAAAAGGAAACAGACCCAACCTTTTCTCTCCTGCTCAAGGAATGAACCCGGGTCTCTCAGTTGTGAGTTGAGGACAGAGACGACTGTGCAGTTCCCTCGTAAATTAAATATATTGTGTAGTTGTAAGTCTTTAATTTTATTTACAGCAGATCTTGTTTTCAATCTAAGGTTCAGATATTCTTAAATATTAATATGTTCTCCGCTAACCAGATAAACATATATTTCATGTGCAAATATTAGTACTACTTGGTATAACACTGCGGCAGGTATATGAACCATAGGTATATATCACTTCTGAGTTCCACCAACATGAAACTTGTTGGTGGAACAGAGTTCGTAATCATTTTCCACTTGTCGTATGTACTTTTTCTCTCATATATTGGCATTTTGAATGATATCTAGCACTTGTTAACTGTTTTGTGACACAGTCGGTGCTAAAGAGCCCTCCAGGCTTGCTGCCTTCTTATGATAACACTGTGTAACAAATCACTTACCTGGGTAGTCGTATTTTCTGCTTGCTTATGCCTGCAAGAGTATATAAGCTGGCTATCATTCCACTCACACTTTGCTTTGACTTATGCCTCAGACAGCTTAGGGAAAACGTCTAGAAGGTAACGGAAGGCTGCAGACTAATAAAACAATGTGTCACAGCTCTAGATAAGGAGTCAGCAGCCTTCAAATACTTTCAAGATGTCTTCCCAAAGTTGTCTGAGGTTGAAAGTAAAGTTTGAGGGGACAAATAGCCATTGTCTATCCTTTTAGAGGCATAAGAACTCAGGAAAAACACTTACCCCCAGAAATAAAAATGTTGTTTACATTCCGTGATTCTATTCTGTGATCATTTTCTGAGCCACGTGAAGTCTTGGATTACTTATTCTCAAGATATTTGTGGTTCAGTTGTCATCACAAGTGGCCACTATGATAACTAGTTTTGGATATTATGATATATATTGAAATCCATACAATATTGTTACAACTAAAACCTGATAGGACTGAACATATTAATTAATTTAGAATAATTTCACCTGATGCCTCTATTCACCTAGCAATAAAATAGGTACCTGGGAGTTAGGCAACTGTTGTGTGCTGCATCCCGGGAAAGGTCTAGTTAGCCTAGCGGAAGGGGAAGGGGGGGGGGCACCTTGATAACCATAAGTACAGGCTTTCTGTCCCAGACAATGTGAGTGATGCATCGTAGCTCATCAGATCGTAACTACAGATAAGACTTAAGTCTGGTGAACAGTTTGATGAACAATGTTGCCAATTGTCGATAAGTAATGTCATGTAGAATCAGTGTTACCAATATTGAGAGCACCCAAGGCTCAGTGTTACCAGGGCTCACCTCTCAGTGGTGCCAAAGGCATAGTGGCTGAGGAGTTCCATGGACTTCTTGATGAGTCCGGCGTCCTTGGCTGAGAAGAAGTGCAGCGACGCCCCGTGTGTGTGAGCCACGTACCTGTGTACCACACATAGTAGCTAACATGTGTGGGTAATACTTGCTAAATAGTTAACATGTGTGGGAAAATACCTGCTAATAGCTAACATGTGTGGGTAATACTTGCTAAATAGTTAACATGTGTGGGAAAATACCTGCTAATAGCTAACATGTGTGGGTAATACCTGCTAAATAGTTAACATGTGTGGGAAAATACCTACTAATAGCTAACATGTGTGGGTAATACCTGCTAAATAGTTAACATGTGTGGGAAAATGCCTGCTAATAGTTAACATGTGTGGGAAAATACCTGCTAATAGCTAACATGTGTGGGTAATACCTGCTAAATAGTTAACATGTGTGGGAAAATGCCTGCTAATAGTTAACATGTGTGGGAAAATACCTGCTAATAGCTAACATGTGTGGGGTAATACCTGCTAATAGCCAACATGTGTGGGTACTAAGCCTTACTTATTCCCTATCTTCATGCCTTAATTTTGACCCATTTGTATAGATCTACTTGTCATCACCTGAACCCTTTACTGGTGTAAATCTAACACGCCTGTATTTACTTATCACTTGAGAATGAACCATGTAGGTTCGAAATGTTGTGTAAATTTTATAATAAGTGTAATACATTCTACAGTTATTTATTTATTTTTCTTCACCTCGAAGGAAGATGAGCACACCACCAAAGGTACAGTAACACTCACATACCACACCAACAAAGGTACAGTAATACTCACATACCACACCAACAAAGGTACAGTAACACTCACATACCACACCAACAAAGGTACAGTAACACTCACATACCACACCAACAAAGGTACAGTAATACTCACATACCACACCAACAAAGGTACAGTAATACTCACATACCACACCAACAAAGGTACAGTAATACTCACATACCACATCAACAAAGGTACAGTAATACTCACACATCAACAAAGGTACAGTAACACTCACATACCACACCAACAAAGGTACAGTAACACTCACACATAACACCATCAAAGGTACAGTAACACTCACACATAACACCATCAAAGGTACAGTAACACTCACACATAACACCAACAAAGGTACAGTAACACTCACACATAACACCAACAAAGGTACAGTAATACTCACACCAACAAAGGTACAGTAACACTCACACCAACAAAGGTACAGTAATACTCACATAACACCAACAAAGATACAGTAATACTCACATAACACCAACAAAGGTACAGTAATACTCACACCAACAAAGGTACAGTAACACTCACACCAACAAAGGTACAGTAATACTCACATAACACCAACAAAGGTACAGTAACACTCACACCAACAAAGGTACAGTAACACTCACACATAACACCAACAAAGGTACAGTAACACTCACACATAACACCAACAAAGGTACAGTAACACTCACACATAACACCAACAAAGGTACAGTAACACTCACACCAACAAAGGTACAGTAACACTCACACCAACAAAGGTACAGTAATACTCACATAACACCAACAAAGGTACAGTAACACTCACATAACACCAACAAAGGTACAGTAACACTCACACATAACACCAACAAAGGTACAGTAACACTCACACATAACACCAACAAAGGTACAGTAACACTCACACATAACACCAACAAAGGTACAGTAACACTCACACATAACACCAACAAAGGTACAGTAACACTCACACATAACACCAACAAAGGTACAGTAATACTCACACCAACAAAGGTACAGTAACACTCACACATAACACCAACAAAGGTACAGTAACACTCACACCAACAAAGGTACAGTAACACTCACACATAACACCAACAAAGGTACAGTAACACTCACACATAACACCAACAAAGGTACAGTAATACTCACATAACACCAACAAAGGTACAGTAACACTCACACATAACACCAACAAAGGTACAGTAACACTCACACCAACAAAGGTACAGTAACACTCACACATAACACCAACAAAGGTACAGTAACACTCACACATAACACCAACAAAGGTACAGTAACACTCACACATAACACCAACAAAGGTACAGTAACACTCACACATAACACCAACAAAGGTACAGTAACACTCACACATAACACCAACAAAGGTACAGTAACACTCACACATAACACCAACAAAGGTACAGTAACACTCACACACACCAACAAAGGTACAGTAACTACTCACACCAACAAAGGTACAGTAACACTCACACATAACACCAAACAAGGTACAGTAACACACTCACCAACAAAGGTACAGTAACACTCACACATAACACCAACAAAGGTACAGTAACACTCACACCAACAAAGGTAGCAGTAACACCCACATACACCCCACAAAGGTACAATAACACTCACACATACACCAACAAAGGTACAGTAACACTCACACATACACCAACAAAGGTAAAAAAACACAACACATAACAAAGTAACACCACACAAAGAGTACGTAACACTCACACAACAAAGGTACAGTAACACTCACACATACACCAACAAAGGTACAGTAACACTCACACCAACAAAGGTACAGTAACACTCACACATAACACCAACAAAGTACAGTAACACTCACACCAACAAAGGTACAGTAACACTCACACATAACACCAACAAAGGTACAGTAACACTCACACATAACACCAACAAAGGTACAGTAACACTCACACCAACAAAGGTACAGTAACACTCACACATAACACCAACAAAGGTACAATAACACTCACCTAAGGGCACGACAAATTAGCTTCTTCCCCTCAGGTTCGAGATCCTTGAAGATATCGTACTTCCCGCCAATTATCACAAGTGGCACCAAGAACGGTTTCACTTCTTTCCCTTCCTGCCAAACGTATGTTAAATAACAACATATCTACTATGACACAAAAATGTATAAAACAAACCACAACGTGAATGTCAACGTTCACAGTGTAGTGATTACAAAGTCGTTAATACAGTGTATATTGCTCAGGAAGTTCCCACTAGCCAGGCCTAGTGTAAAAGTTAAATAATAAACAAACTCCATACATTAGTTTAGCCTCATATCATATATGTTTGCCCCTGAGTATGGCTATAATATATATATATATATATATATATATATATGTCGTACCTAGTAGCCAGAACGCACTTCTCAGCCTACTATGCAAGGCCCGATTTGCCTAATAAGCCAAGTTTTCATGAAATAATTGTTTTTCGACTACCTAACCTAACCTACCTAACCTAACCTAACCTAACTTTTTCGGCTACCTAACCTAACCTAACCTATAGAGATAGGTTAGGTTAGGTTAGGTAGGGTTGGTTAGGTTCGGTCATATATCTACGGTAATTTTAACTCCAATAAAAAAAATTGACCTCATACATAATGAAATGGGTAGCTTTATCATTTCATAAGAAAAAAATAAGAGAAAATATATTAATTCATGAAAACTTGGCTTATTAGGCAAATCGGGCCTTGCATAGTAGGCTGAGAAGTGCGTTCTGGCTACTAGGTACGACATATATATATATATATATATATATATATATATATATATATATATATATATATGGTTAGGTTAGGTAGTCGAAAAAACATTTATTTCATGAAAACTTGGCTTATTAGCAAATCGGGCCTTGCATAGTAGGCTGAGAAGTGCGTTCTGGCTACTAGGTACGACATATATATATATATATATATATATAATATTATATATTATGTCGTACCTAATAGCCAGAACGCACTTCTCAGCCTACTATTCAAGGCCCGATTTGCCTAATAAGCCAAGTTTTCATGAAATAATGTTTTTTCGTCTACCTAACCTACCTAACCTAACCTAACCTAGCTTTTTTTGGCTACCTAACCTAACCTTACCTATAAATATAGGTTAGGTTAGGTTAGGTAGGTTGGTTAGGTTCGGTCATATATCTACGTTAATTTTAACTCCAATAAAAAAAAAATTGACCTCATACATAGAGAAAAGGGTAGCTTTATCATTTCATAAGAAAAAAATTATAGTAAATATATTAATTCAGGAAAACTTGGCTTATTAGGCAAATCGGGTATATATATATATATATATATATATATATATATATATATATATATATATATATATATAACAGAAAACTCCTCCCCCTTGAAGGATTCGAACCAAGACAGCCAGGGGCTCCATGAACCATAGCGTGTCCAGCACTTTTACCACTTGGCTACAACGACTGCTAAAAGAATTGTAAGTCACCAGACCCTTAACCCAATTCCCGACAGCACTCTGTGACATTTTTGGACACAGATAATTCATCAAGTTACCTCATGGGGGCTACATGAGTAATATTTGTGCGAGCAAATTGTTCTTGTATATTGTGCTTTAGTGAATGAGATGTATAATCTATCATTGTATTGCATTGACTGGCTCCAGGATATATGTTGAGTTGAACAAGTGCCCGTCGAGGATATATTCACTCTCAGCATGCCGGATACACTCAGCGCTGGGACGATTCTCAACTCAAGTTTCACTTTCAGTGGCCTTCACTGCACGTGGGAATGTTGCAGAGGTCACTGTCGTCACGGCGAAATATGACAGTGAATGATGTATTACCCAGCCTGCTCTTGACTTAGTACCCCCCCCCCCCCTGGGTACTTCCTTGGTGTTGGGAGCAACCCGTTCTCGCAAATTTAATAAGTCAATATTGACTTATTAAATATGTGCATAGGTGACATACTTAACATAATAGATACCCTTAAAAAGATTCATAGAAAACACCGACCTTACCTAACCTTGTTAGTATCTTAAGATAAGCATCTTATTGCTTCGTAATTACAATTATTACCTAACCTATAATAGGTATAGGTTAAGTAATAATTGTAATTACGAAGCAATAAGATGCTTATCTTAAGATACTAACAAGGTTAGGTAAGGTCGGTGTTTTCTATGAATCTTTTTAAGGGTATCTATTATGTTAAGTATGTCACCTATGCACATATTTAATAAGTCAATATTGACTTATTAAATTTGCGAGAACGGGTTGGGTTCATGGTGGGAGTGGGATGTACTCACCTCGTGGTGGGAGTGGATGTACTCACCTCCTGGTGGGAGTGGATGTACTCACCTCATGGTGGGAGTGGATGTACTCACCTCATGGTGGGAGTGGGTGTACTCACCTCCTGGTGGGAGTGGATGTACTCACCTCATGGTGGGAGTGGATGTACTCACCTCGTGGTGGGTGTGGGTGTACTCACCTCGTGGTGGGAGTGGGTGTACTCACTTCGTGGTGGGAGTGGGTGTACTCACTTCGTGGTGGGAGTGGGTGTACTCACCTCCTGGTGGGTGTGGGTGTACTCACCTCCTGGTGGGAGTGGATGTACTCACCTCATGGTGGGAGTGGATGTACTCACCTCATGGTGGGTGTGGGTGTACTCACCTCCTGGTGGGAGTGGATGTACTCACCTCATGGTGGGAGTGGATGTACTCACCTCATGGTGGGAGTGGGTGTACTCACCTCCTGGTGGGAGTGGATGTACTCACCTCATGGTGGGAGTGGATGTACTCACCTCGTGGTGGGTGTGGGTGTACTCACCTCGTGGTGGGAGTGGGTGTACTCACTTCGTGGTGGGAGTGGGTGTACTCACTTCGTGGTGGGAGTGGGTGTACTCACTTCGTGGTGGGAGTGGGTGTACTCACCTCCTAGTGGGAGTGGATGTACTCACCTCATGGTGGGAGTGGGTGTACTCACCTCGTACTCACCTCGTGGTGGGTGTGGGTGTACTCACCTCGTGGTGGGAGTGGGTGTACCACTCGTGGTGGGAGTGGGTGTACTCACTTCGTGGTGGGAGTGGGTGTACTCACTTCGTGGTGGGTGGGTGTACTCACCTCCTAGTGGGAGTGGATGTACTCACCTCATGGTGGGAGTGGGTGTACTCACCTCGTGGTGGGTGTGGGTGTACTCACCTCGTGGTGGGAGTGGGTGTACTCACTTCGTGGTGGGAGTGGGTGTACTCACTTCGTGGTGGGAGTGGGTGTACTCACCTCCTGGTGGGAGTGGATGTACTCACCTCCTGGTGGGTGTGGGTGTACTCACCTCCTGGTGGGTGTGGGTGTACTCACTTCGTGGTGGGTGTGGGTGTACTCACTTCGTGGTGGGAGTGGGTGTACTCACCTCCTGGTGGGAGTGGGTGTACTCACTTCGTGGTGGGAGTGGGTGTACTCACCTCCTGGTGGGAGTGGATGTACTCACCTCCTGGTGGGTGTGGGTGTACTCACCTCCTGGTGGGTGTGGGTGTACTCACCTCGTGGTGGGAGTGGGTGTACTCACTTCGTGGTGGGAGTGGATGTACTCACCTCATGGTGGGAGTGGGATGTACTCACCTCGTGGTGGGAGTGGATGTACTCACCTCGTGGTGGGAGTGGATGTACTCACCTCGTGGTGGGAGTGGATGTACTCACCTCATGGTGGGAGTGGGATGTACTCACCTCGTGGTGGGAGTGGATGTACTCACCTCCTGGTGGGAGTGGATGTACTCACCTCGTGGTGGGAGTGGGTGTACTCACCTCGTGGTGGGAGTGGATGTACTCACCTCCTGGTGGGAGTGGATGTACTCACCTCCTGGTTGGAGTGGATGTACTCACCTCCTGGTGGGAGTGGGATGTACTCACCTCATGGTGGGAGTGGGATGTACTCACCTCGTGGTGGGAGTGGATGTACTCACCTCCTGGTGGGAGTGGATGTACTCACCTCGTGGTGGGATTGGATCCTCTTCTTAGCTTCCTCCTGCAGGGATTCTTTCAGACCCGACACAGACTCCACGGTCTTGTTCACCTGTGC